TTTAATTCATCAAACAAAACATATTCGTATAGAGTTACAAAAAGCTTATCCTATCATTTGTACATGTCCAAAGCCATATCATTTCAACTTCTATTGCAAACATTAAATGACCTTGAATTGGAATTTATATTTTTATTTGTATCATCCTTGTTATGTTAGAGGCATAGCTTGAGATGAAACTTGCAACAATAGTGAAAAGTGCAAAAAATTAATTAGGGCAAAAATTTAAATGTTTCTTTTGTTTAAGTTCAAAATGAAATCATTTTAGTACGTCGACATCACACATGTCACTTAACATGATATGTTACCAAATGTTAACATTCCTTTGCATCTATTTGCATTGATGACCTAACTATGTAACATATTGTAGTCTAAGAAACTCATGAAGAAATTTTAAAAAGTTAGAAACTAATATCTAACTTATATATTTAAAGGCTTAACTTATAAGTTTATTCAATAAATTATGTTGATTTAGTCCCTCCAAATGTTTGATGATTAACTTAAGAGGGAAGATTTGAGAAAAGGTGATTTGCATGAACATGAGTGTGTAAATCTAGAAAATTTCCTATTTAAGAGTTGTTCTAAAATTTTAAAATATATATATTGATAAAAAAAGCAATTATATTCTTATATATGATTTAGTTTAAATTTTTATTTAAAATTGAAATAAACTAAACTTAACTATAAATTTATTATTTTTTAATTTTATTTTATATAAAATAATTTAAAGTATATTTTATTAAATATAAATATATTTATCTCTTATTTCTTACATCTATCTTTTTCCTTTCTTTTACTACTCTTTACTTCTTCTATTCTTTATTGAATTTTGGTTCAATTTGACATTTATTGGTGCTAACAATTATATTCTTATATATGATTTAGTTTATTATTAGTGCTAACATTTTATTTGTTTCTTCTTAGTACGTTAGTTTAAGGTAAAACTGTAAAAGCCAAAATTTTAAAAATTATCATTTGTTGATATGTTTTGTTGGAATGTTCCTCAACTGAAAGATTGATCTTAAAATAAGTTTATTTTTTATCTTATTGTTTTATAAATCTTAAAATAATTTGTGTAGGTTCAAGAAAAAGTATTAGAATTTGGAGATTAAATACAAGTATTTACCAAAGAACGAATAGAGACATCCAGATATCATGATCATTTTCTTGACAATCAGATTTTATTATTTTAACTTAATCTTATATACTTATATTCAGTATTTTATATATTATAATTTCTAATTTCATATAAAAATATCAACTAGAAAATATGAATCAAGTCATTCAAAATTTTAGAAGAAGAGAAGAGTCAAGACTTTAATTGAATCATAAAATAGATTTATGGATAAATTTATAAAAGCAAACAAGAAAAATAAATTAGAAAATACAGGCACGTCCTCTTTGAATGAACAAGATAATAACATAGATATAGATGAAAACAATAATAGAGAAATAGTTAATGAAGAGGATAATTCTTATTCTCAAACTCATGATAACAAAGGAAGAAATTTAAAGACTAGATTATTTTACTCCTAAAAATATATGATCCAAGTCAATGAACGAATATTGGTACAAATTTGAGACTTATTAGTAGAAAAAAGCCCAATTAAAATTATTGGTATAGATTTTCCAAAAGATAAATTCGTCTATACACTTTTCTTCATCAAATTATTTTCAAAAATTGCTTAACAAAAAGAAACATGAAAGAAGATGACTACTTTATTTTGTAAATATGGGTAGAGTCTTTTGTTTTTGTTGTAAATTATTTAATTTTATTTCTTGTACAAGTAAATTAACTAACAAAGGTAATAGATATTAGAGGAATCTTAGTGGTAAGTTGAAGAGTAATGAAATAACTAATGAACTTATTACTAACATGAATGCATGAATTAATTTAGAAAAAAGATTGTTGAAAAATAAAATAATAGACAATCATGTTCAAGAACAAATAAACAAAGATAGAGAACATTGAAGAAAGGTGTTGTTAAGAATTATTATAGATATTAAAAACTCTTAGTAAAAATAACTTAGCCTTTCATGGAGCAAAAGAAAAGATCTATTAGAAAGGTAATGAAAATTTTGTGAAGTCTAATTGAAATGATTGTAGAATTTGATCCAATTATCTAAGAACATATTCGTTGAATTAGAAATGATGAAATTCGTAATTATTACCTTGGATATAATATATAAAATGAATTGATAATTTTGTTAGCAGGTGAAATCAACACAAAAATTATAAAAAAAATTTATGGATGCGAAATATTATTCAATCATACTTGACTATTACATATTAATCCTAGATCATTTTATACTCCATATGGTTGTCATAGTTTAAACTTAATACTTTGTGATATGACTAATTCTTTGTCTAAAAGCTATATCGTTATCACAAACACATTGGGAAAGTCGTATTGAAAGTGTAAAAGCGGTAAGATTTCAAACTTCACAAATAAGAAATGTATTATTAAAATTGGCTGAAATTAGTGATGATCCTAAAATATAGTGAAGTTGATTATTTAATAAATTATGAACTTGAAAATTTTGAATTTTTGTTATAAATGATTATTTGGTATGACATATTATTTGTAGTTAACACAATTAGTAAAAATTTACAATAAAAAGATACATGCATTGACATGCCCAATGAACAATTAAAAGGTCTTCTTTCATTTTCTGAAAGGTATAGGAAAAATAGATTTAAAAATGCATTGACTTCTGCAAAAAAAAATTGCTTTTGAAATAGATATAAAGCCTAAGTTCATGAAAAACATATTAGTTATATAAAGAAATAATTTGATAAAAGTGTTGAGGATGAAATTGTAAAATCTCATTAAGAATAATTTAGAATTAATTACTTTTCATACATTGTAGATAAAGCAAATATCACATTACAAATTAGATTTCAACAATTTAAAAAAATATGATAATGTTTTTGATTTTTTATTTAGTGTTAAAAATTAAAGTCACTAAATTGTATAATTTTGAAAGAAAAATATTTAAATCTTAAAAATTCTTTGAAACATGATAATTTCTTAGATATTGTTGGATTGATTTATTTTTAAAATTAAATATTTTAAAAGAAATTATAGGATTAAAAAAATAATAAACCAATTGACATTTTCAATTATATAAAAAGAATAAATTATTTTTCAAATGTATATATAGTTTATAAAATAATGTTAATGATTCCAGTATTAATTATTTCAATTGAAATAAGTTTTTCAAAACAAAAATTAATAAAAACTTATTTAAGATAATAATGTCTCAACAAAAACTAAACGAATTGACTTGATTATCTATTGGAAAGGAAATGTAAATGAAATTAATTATAATAATTTTATAGATAATTTTACATCACAAAATGTTCAAAAAATAAATTTTAAAAATTATAATAATTTTAATAAATTATTTTATTAATTAAAAGTCTCATTTTTAAATCTACTTTAGGCCTTAAACTGTCCTTGATTTTAAATGACGTAAGAGGTGAATTACTAGTGTGCTCAACTATTATCCCTTTGATTTGTTTTAAAGTTATAAAATAACATATAACTAATCTCAGCCCAATAACTTGAAGGAGTCTATAATAGAAACTTATAGGAGATAAGAGAACTAAAGAATTGAAGACTCATACATGATGATTGAGTGATAATGTGGGATCATCAAAATAAATGTATCTTAGAAGGAATCCAAACAAAAAAAATTTATCTTTCTAATAAATATTGGGCATAATACACATTATATAATAGATTGACTATAATTATCCCCACAAATGGAGAAGTCAACACCTCAACAAGAATTGTTACATGTGAAACCAACACTTTCCCAACATGAAGAAATTCCCATGGATACACTGCCTACCCAACGACAAGGGATTCCACTAGTTTTTGTACAATCAAATAAAAAAATTTGCAAAAACTATGTATCAACTACAACTTGTGACACTATAGTATAAAGAAACTTGTGACACCATAGTATAAAGAATGATGTTGCTGATGTATTCAAAATATTTATTGAACATTGTTATTATTGATTATTGAAATTGTATTATATTACATGGAATCGTCAAATACTGAGATTATTAAAATTGTATTATATTATAACTAAAAGGTTTATTTTTAAAAAAAATTAATATATTGACTAAGTCAATATTTCAAATCTACAAATGATATATTAAATAAAATATACACATATTGACTTTTTTTTATATAAACGTTACACTTTTACTCATATTTATTATAATTCTATCATTAAACTAGATTAAAATTGTCATTCACTTTTTAAAAAAAAATATATAATAAAACTAAGAATACAAATGCTTTAATTATTGTTACTTATAATTTGCTATTAACAGAGATTCAATATTTATAGTTTTAATAATTAAAAATCACTAGTAATAATTTTATATTGAGTTAAATATTTTTAATCATTTTAAATATATAAAATAATATTTTCTTATTTCTAAAAGTTATTTTGACAATCCAAAGTTAATTAATAATAATATTGCTTTTTTTAAAATTATATTTATGATTTTATAAAAAAAAAGTCATATTATAATAAATTTAAAATAAAAGAAATCATAGTAAAAAAAAGTCTAGAAATACAAAGAAATGAAGAAACAGAGATGAAAGAATCTGACGTCTGGATGAAAATCAGTGACTGACGTCTACAAATACGGCCTAAAGAAAACCTATCTACATGGCTACGCAGAAACAGACCTTAACCTTGTCAAATCCTTTCCACTGTTTCGCTCCGCTCCCTTCGCACTAATCCTTTCCATTTACATTACACGCACACAAACTTACAACTCTCTTTAACTGTTCACTGTTCACTGTTCACTCTTTTCCCCCACCCTCTCTCTCTCCGTGTCCTCTTTCCCTTGTTCCTTTTTCCCAGGTTTTATTGGAAAAGAAAATACATCGTCTCGTCCTTTTCCAGGTGCCGTAATAACCCCAACTTTCTCTTCCTCATCCTTCGCTTTCTGTCAATCCCGATTTCTATTCATTCTTCTTCTTCCATGCTTCCAAGTTTAAGCAATTTTCTCTCGCTCAATACAAACCTCGTACTGTGCACTAGATCTTTCTGTTGTCTATCTATTGCTTCAACTCTGGTTTTGTTCGAATTGGCTAGTTAGTTCGTTACATATGTTTGCTTGACCGAGGAGAGTTTTGAGTTCAGAGTTCAGACCTCGATCAGCTAGCGATGGAAGATATTTACAAGTTGAACCCTCTTCTATCTTGTTCAGAGGATGTTGTTGTTAGAGATCATGTCAACGTTAACGCTTCTGCTACTGCTGCTTCTGAATTGCATCTAGGACTCGTTGCTAATAACTACCTTCGGATGGAAGAGCCATCCGAACCCGATGTGTCGGATCGACTGATCAAGACCCAGATCGCTTCTCACCCTCTTTATCCAAATCTAGTATCTGCTTATATAGAATGCCAAAAGGTTGTATATACCACACGCAGTGCTTTCCATTAATCGTTGGACAAAACTCATGTGTAGTACATCATACGTATTTTTGGTATTATTTTTCGGTTAAGAATGGACTTCACTCCAAAAATATATGTCCACTTTTAATGTTAATTTTAATTGTATGAATTATTGAAGTGAAACTCTTATCTTTATTGAAGACTAGTATTAAAACTACCAATAATTTGCATCTAAGTCTTTTCCTTAATTGGTGATTTTTTATTACTTAATTGGCATTCTTCACTTTTTGGTCCATCTATTTATTTAATATATTTTAAGTAAAGTAGTATTATAAATATAAATAGGAATACTAAATGCTATCAGCATATTGTGTTCCAAGGTTGGAGCACCACCAGAACTGGCTTCACTTCTCGAAGAAATAGCCCGTGAAAGCCACCCGACAGATGCTCTCCGTGAGATAGGAGATGATCCTGAGCTTGACGAGTTCATGGTATACATATATTGTTTTCTCTTAAACTTTCTTTTATCTTTTTCTTTGATGGGTTTGGGGGGTGAAGGATGTTTGACGTATTTTCTTTTAAATAAATCAGATTAATGAAGAGATGAATTGTTGTTGTTGTTGTTGTGACGCATGTTAGGAATCATACTGTGAAGTTCTTCATAGATACAAGCAGGAGCTGTCCAAGCCATTCAATGAAGCGACTTTGTTTTTGTGTAGTATCGAATCACAACTCAGCAATCTTTGTAAGGGAACGCTGACATTGTCATCGGATAACAATCGTTCAGGTAAACACTTGATTTGGCAATCCATTATTGTTTAGTAATTCCTGTGTTCTACTAATGTACACTGCCTCGAAGCTCTACTCATCGGGTAAAAATGGTGTTGTGCCTAAAAAATCTGAATATGCTTTGTTTCTTGATTTGGTATTGTATTAATATTTTTGTTTTTAGAGGGGCGATAATGGCCCTCTTCTGTACGTCAGAGATGGAAGTGATTTAATGTTATTTATTTAATGAATTCTTTGAAACGACGCCTCAGTCACGACCATCTGACCTCTGTTAAATTGGAATCTCCGAGTGGAACGTTCCAAAAATAAACAATTTACGACTTTGTTTTGTTTTTATTATTTTTTAGTAATTTTTAAGTGTGCGAAGGGTGTAAGATAGAGAAGAAAAAAGTATGTGAATAAATAGAGACGTGAAGGACGATTTGATGATAGTAAACAATGAAATAAATAAAAAGACAGAGAAAATATATAATGAAATGTAAGAATCGTTCTTCTATCATTTTTTCAAAATATAATTTTCAAGGAGAGAGGTAAGAGTGAGTAAAAAAGTAAGTGTAAAATAAAATGAGTGATGTTACCAAGAGATTAAAGAGAGAAGAAAATGGATTATAAAAAAGTGTTTTGAGAAAATTATATGTAAAAATATTACTAAAGAGGGATATGGAAAATCAAAACTTTTTAAAATCGATTAGTATCTGTGGTGCAAGTGTGTGAATAACTAAATATGTTTTATTCAGTTCTTTGTAATATTCTTTTATTTTTATCCATTAAATTGTCTATTTTATCGCATATTTCTTTCTCTATTATATATATATATATAAATTATGTCCTACAAAATTAATGTACAACTAGTATTTTTCATAGCTAAATAGTGTCAGTCTCTGGCTAGCTTTCATTAATATCTTGGATTCCGTAAAGACTAGTGATCATACATGTGTCTAACATAAATGTATCAAGAATCTTGATGTAGTTATGGTAATGGCCTTGATATCTGAGTGTGCGGCGCTGAGTATTTCAGTATTTAGATTGAGAAGTAGTTTACAAATTGCAATTTTATTACTTGTAAATTGCTATGATTATACGGTTGTATAGATTTGAACAGATTTCCGTATAGATAAATCATGTAGCACAAAATCAATGTTGAATGTTTTACAGTACAGCAGGAATTTCTAAATTCTCTAAATATATCCTTTGCCCAGTTGTTTAACGGTTAGCACTTAGATTTAAAGCAGTTGGTGTTAAAAGCTACGCCCTAGCATTTAGTGTTGCAATAACATGCGATCTATAAATATTGAAGTGAAGTGCCATTTAGTTTTTAGTTTCCTTTTCTCCTGTCAATACTGCATTATCTTTTTCCATTTCGATATATATTAAATTTCCGTAAAATAGAAGCTGGTTGATTGGCTTTCAAAGTCACAACGTAAGTTATGAATTGGAAACGTTTTGAATTTTTAGTTATTGAATGGTGCCAATATTTTGACATACTTAATAATGCTTACTTGGAAATCTAAGGTGAAGTCATACATCTTGTTTGTATATGGCGATGTAGCGTGTGATTATGAAAGATGCAGTCACAATTTTGCTTTTCGTACGTGAAAGCGAATGAGTCACGCTGGATCTTTGCTATAAATGAAATGAGCCCGTCTTGAGTAGTAAATATTGGAGTAGGGGACCATTTTGCAGAGAGACATGAAAAAAAGGCAAAAAAGGAAGTAATAGCAAGGTCTGACTTTGGCATATAATAATTGGTCTATAATTTCCTCTATTGCCAATCAATGATTATAGCCAAATTTTATATCAAGGTTGGTGCAAGCTTTTGCTTTTAATCAACAATGTTCATTTGCACTATATCTTGTTTCCCTCCTCCCCCAACGTCATCCAACTTGGGCTAATTCCAAATTTTCCATTGTGAACATGCTATCATCTTTCCATCCAATTAGGCCATCCCCTAAAAGTCCAAGTCTAAGCATATGTGTATTGCTTTTTGACATAACCAGAAATTAATTATATTATCTGCTTCTGTCCCTTGATATTTCATTTTATTATCCTTTTGTGCTGTGTACACATTAAAAAAGTGAAAGTAACTCTAAGTTAACGTGCAGTTTGGTCAGCCATTCATTATCTCTTAATAAACTGAAAATTTAAACCATCTGTGCCATGGAATGTTGAAAGCCTTGGTAGTACACTTAACTAGTTTTTTCTAAGCATTTTGATTCGCTTTGCTTTTTGCATGTTTGTCAGATGAGGCAGCCGGGACATCAGAGGATGAATTAAGTTTTGAGAAGGTGGAAGCAATTGAAGGTCATGAATTTTCTGGCACACGTCCAGGTGATCAAGAGCTTAAAGAAATGCTCCTTCGTAAGTATGGTGGTTATCTTAGCAGCTTAAGAAAGGAATTTTTAAAGAAAAGGAAAAAGGGTAAGCTACCAAAGGATGCAAGGATCGTACTCATGGACTGGTGGAACACCCACTATAGGTGGCCTTATCCTACGGTAATTGAAATTTATACCATAGAAGTACATATAATAATAACGTTATATTTTGTGTGTGCACTGTTGGCTAACCTTGTGCGATCTGATTTTTAGAATATATATATCTGATGCACTTGAGCAATCTACAATGATGTTGATTTCCAAGTTCATATTGTCTGTTATTACTATTATGTGTGTGAATATTAAAACACTAACAAACCACAAACCATTCAAATTGATAAAATCCTGACATGCAAATTTTGTATATTGTAGTGATATCGGTTTTCTTATTGTTTTAGCATTATTGTGATAGTCAATGACTAGAGGATTCAGACCCGAGATATTCGCACTATGTTCACCGTGCGTAGAGAACAATTGCTAATGTTCTTTGTATTCTAGTAGTGCATAGAAACTTTAGCTTCAAGTAGGATGTACTCTAGCAAGTTTTGTATGCACTCTTAATATGCGTGCATCGGCAATTTCTTTTGTTAGCTGCAGAAAATGGTAATTTTTGGGGATACGGTAAGAACATTTTGGTAGAGGGTTGTCAGAACCATTTCGTTTTGTTTAATTAAGCATGCATAGTAAACGTTACCATGCGTACCTCGTGTACTTTATATGCTTATATATAACGGCATTTGTGCAAGGGCAGTGTCCCTTGTACTACTTTTCAATACATTTTGGCTTATGGAAAAGAGAAAAAAAAAAACTTTAATATACGTACAGCTTAGGGTGTGCACTTGTTTAGCCACAAACGAATAATTAATAAGCATGGTTTCCATTTGAGTCGAGTAAAATTTATATAAATGGGTTGAAACTAACCTTTTGTCAGGAGGAGGAGAAAGTGCAGCTATCAGAAATGACTGGACTGGATCAAAAACAGATCAATAACTGGTTCATCAATCAAAGGAAACGGCATTGGAAGCCATCTGAAGATATGCGATTTGCCATTATGGATGGGGTGAGTGGTGGTGGAATAGGAGGACCTATGTAATTTATTTCGTGGAGCGTGATCATTTGTGTGTTTCCTGCTACTTGTACCTTCTGTTAGGTGATGTACACGTTCTATTCCGCGATATATATTAATTTTTGGAATCTGTACCTGTATGTATACCAAGTAGGTCCATTCAGCTTACATACAAGTGTGTAAAAGCTGTACTAATATATGATAGTGATAATCCATCGACGTTGCCGAATCACTGTTAATTTATGACAATGCATTATACTATATGAACTAGATAATCAATGTGGAGATAACAAGGCACGGATAACATTATACTATATCATTATTTTAGTATTTGCTTCCATTGTGCTTCAAAAATTTTACTTTGTAATGTTCCTTGCATTTTGCTTAACTTTGCATAGCTGCTTGCAATTGCAGCGAAGTGGGAACAACGATCGATGAGTTTTGTAACTTGCTATCTTGACCATATGTGATATTTTTCTTGCTCGAGGCACAGATATTCAGACAGTTTTTGTTGTATTATACCAGGTCTATTGAGAGTATTTTAATTGGGTATAGTTTCATTATATATATAATACAAAACTTTGTGCCATTCAATCACTTTATAAGTCACGTTAGTTTTCTTAACTTGAAAAGCCTGTTAAATGTGCTACAACTGGACTAGGAAATAGGGGGTGAATAAGTGTTAAAATGATAAAAATACCAAATGGTTAAATACATGAAATATCATAATATAAACATTATTTACTGTCACTCTAAAATAATTGTTCTGTTAATTAAAATTTTTTATTAAATTATTATTATTTTAACTATTCAATAAAAAAAATATTGTAAATAAAAACTATTTTAAGAAAAGTGAACCATTTAGAGTAATCATTCGTATACATAAACTACCTTCTATGCGTGGAGACCTCCAGCACAGCGAAATAGCGATTTAAGAAGAGAGAAATTAGAGTAACTACGGAATGCGTAGAATTTGTCAATTTCATAAGTTTTTAATTTATTTTATTAAATCTTTAGATGTAATTTTTAAATTAATTTTAATTTTTTTATATTGTTTTGGTATCTAATAAGTTTAATATTTAAATTTATGTTATGGATTTTATATAAAAATTCATTAAATAAATATTTAATTAAGTTATTATTTAAATATAATTTTAAAAGCATTTTCGATGTATATAACTAAGTGTATATATTAATAACATGAGATGATTTCAATTTAATCAGTGACCAATTGCCTTGAAAAGAATAGTCTCGTTAGGTCCAAAATAAAAAATGTTTTCATAATACGATGCTGTGTCTTGCATCAATTAAATCTTTCAGAAAATGGCCCAATTTCCAAGATGGCGTGAGTTTGATTATGCATTTTTAGGTAGACATTATTTACAATGTTAAATAGATTATTTTTATAAAATTTAATATAAATTAAATTAATAAATATTTTATCATATTAATTTATTTTAATAAATAATATGTTTTTAAATATAAATAAATATTAAAATTTAAATAATACACCAATAAATATTTAAATTTACGAAATTTAATATACATAATCATCATTAAGATAATATAAAATTATTCAAATATTAAATAATCAATCTTATATTTTATAAAAAGTTATTAAGTAATATAAGTATTTAAATTTAACATTTAATAACATCAATAGACTTTATTTTAAAAATAATAAAATAATAAATATTTTTTACAAATTAAATTGAATCAAATATACATTTTATATAACAAAAAATAAAATCTCCTTAATATAGATAAAAGGGATAAAGGCAAAAAAATAAAATAAAAATTAGCTAATATTTTAAGAAAACTTATTCGATACGTATCTTTACAAAGAAGAGGAATAAGCTTGGGAGAAAAAGTAAGTTTTATAAACTTCAAATTTAATGTGAGCTAAATTAGCCATAGAATCTATATATTTATTTATTTTTCTAAATGTATGATATAAATAAAGTGTGTAATATGATACTCTAAAATTCTTTTATAGGTATTGTACCTAAAAAATTTATATCAATAAATAAAACTATGTGATAAGTTATAAAAAATATACATTATAAAATATATAATTTATTTAAAATTATATTTTTTATATTAGTTGCTACATGGTCTTATTTTATTATTATTATTATTAGTATTTATATATATTTATAATATATATTATATTAACTTTTTTGAATGGAATATAATTTTTATTTAAGTAGTTTCTATTTATTATAAATTATAACATAATATATTAATATAATATTACTATTTTAATTCGTTTAGTTTTAATTACGTCTTATTCTTATTTGAAAACTTAATCACTCTTCAACTTATTTAAATGTAACAAATATAATAATTTATTATTAAATAAATTTATTATTTAAACATGTATCTAAATATTATTAGTTGAAAATTTTTTGTTCATTTAGTTTTGATTGCGTCTTATCTCTATCAAAGACTTAACTACTTCTCAGTTTATTCAAATGTAATAAATATAATAATTTATTATTTAAACATGTGTCTAAATATTATTGATTAGAATTTTTTATATACAGTATCTTAAAAAATTTTAAGGGTGCCACAAAATTTACCTATAATTGCATTATTTTTCTGATTTTTTGAATAATTAATGATAATTTCATTAATGTGAAAAAAATTAAATTTATTATTGGTGATTTTTTAGTGGATAAAATTTGAATTAGGAAGGATAATTCAAACAAATTATTACCTAATTTTTTTAACAATGATAATTCTGAATAGTTTCATAGGTGTTTAAAAAATAGTGTATCATTAACATTTTTATATTGGATTATTCTTTTGACATGAGATTAATACTAGAAAGAAAAATTTAATTATATTTTTATTTAAATAATTTTTTTTAAGAGGAATGCTAATAATGCATTCTTTATTATTGGTTCAAATTTATTAAAAATTAAAAAATATAAAAGAAAAATATTAATTTAGGAATAAAAAAAAAGTAAAACCCACTTAATTTTCATAGTTTTTAATAAAATTTAACTAACAGTGAGAGATGTTACAAAAAGGGTATTGCTAGTGTTACTCTTTCAAAAATCAAAGTAAGATCTTCATGTTTAAAAGATTAAATTATTCCAATTAAATCAACACAAATCGATGAACATTCCTCGTGCTTCATAAAGAAAAAAGTGATAAACTATTTGTAGATTGATTAGGAATCATACTGGTAAAGTTTCAGTGAAATATTATACTTATTTTTGTGCTTGCATTTTAAAAAATTATTTATACATTTTTTTAATCCATTAACTAACAACTTTGACCCTCATCATATACGTTTTGTGTGTCCAAATGCTCACACTTGTACTTATTATCAATTTTCGTTAACTGAAAAATATTTCTTAACAAAATAATAAAACATAAGCATTACTAAAATGCATACAACATTTTTAAAACTTATAATCTGGTATCAGAGCCTGATGGATAAGTAGAAATATAACTGTTGATTATTTAAAACTATGTTCTTCTGGATCTAGAAATTTAAATTTGTTTAAATCTTTATGCTTTTGTATAGTTCTTTATTTTATGAAAGACTTTTACTGGAAGTACAACAGTTCTTAGTTCTTTTTGAATAAGGCTGTAGCAGTAAGTCCCGTATTGTTGAAGGGCAGTAAGACTAATTCGACGATACTGTATTAAAAAAAAAAAAGAATATAAGAAGCTGGTGGCTATAGTAGAAGAATTTCTAGTTTTTTAAATTAAAAAAAAAAGGTTCACAAATAACCAGATCTAGTTGAAAGAGTTATAGATAATTAACATATATGTTTTTATGGAACCAAATGAGGGTAATATGTCAGATTTATATTCTATGATGTCTCGTCTTTTGCGCTCTTTCTCCTATATCTCCTTTCGTTCTGGTTCTAGCTCCTCCTCCTCCTCTCTAACCAAAAATACACTTTTCAATAATCAGGAGAAACAGTCTCTTGAAATTACACCCAAACACAATCTTTTGGACGAAAAAGTTCACTTCGAAGAGATCAATTAAAGTATGGATGACTGGACCATTCCAGAAATTCCTTAGGATACATTATATGTTCCTGAAGAACAATCTAAGAAAAACAGTTCTGTTAAAATTATCAAGACTATTGAGAATAATATCCCTTTAGGAAAAGACATAGGAGAAGAATTTCATCTCCTGTCCAAATCCTCCATTAATGACCACAAAAGAAAATATAAATATCAGACATAGGATGTGTTCAGGTAGCTATCAAACCTTTAATAGACATAGGCATAGATGTTGTTGTCTTAATATGTCTTAGGGATGTCCGCCATAACAAGGTTGACGATTCCCTTATAGGAACAGTTGAAACTAGTCTCGGTCAAGGTCCGATCTATTTTAATTGTTTTCCCAATAAAACAGTGAGTCTCATGGATGAACACATCCTAGACTCTCTTTTTCTCAATATTTGCTTTCATGGGTTAGACATGAAAGAGGGATCTATTCTCGCAGCCCTTATCTATAGGATTCAGTATAAGGTCATGAACTTTTGTGCGTCTAGAGTCCTTCTTAAACCACAAAGAGGAGAGACTACTTTGTTTATCACTGATATGACAAAGGCTAATATCTCTTTACCCAGAATTATTAAATGGGATGAAGTTACTCTCCTAGAAAAATAGATGATGAATAAAGTCTCACCCTGTATTCCTCGTCCTGCTCCTCAAATTCAAGATATTTTGCAGGATAATTCAGGAAAGGTTGAGATAACCTTTGATCTCTAGAATTGATACTTATAGCAATCAATCTGATTTTGTTTCTGCTAGAAGATCATTCTCTTCTAGATCTGATTTTAGGTCTGAAATTCCCATATCTATTAATCATGATCCTTCCATAAATTTATAAGGTTTAGATACTTCCTCTAGGATTCCTAGAAATGTTTATCAAACCTTTGAAAAAGAAGAAGAAAACCAGAGTATCTAATCTCTAACCTACTCTTCCCTTAATGAGTCTTATGATGTTATCTCATAAATTCATTATAGATAAAGAAACCCTTAGGAAAGATTTC